ATAGGATTACTCTTTTATTTGGATACTTTGATATTGTTTATATTAGACGTGTAATCCGCAGTGAGCCGGTGTGGCTGCGTGGCTGCCGAGAAAATCCGCATAGCATCCCTCGTACGAGAGATTCAAAGCATGCAACTACACATCTGAGCCGCATACTTTGTCATACCTATGTTCACTATTCATTTTATTTACACACAAGTAAATAAAATTTTGTTCTGTTATAATAACTAAATAAAATGAAATGCTTGACCACAATCCTAAGATGTTATACGGCGAAAATAAAGTAAGATAAACTTAAAATACCGTGTTCCATCTTTGTTTATATCTCAAAAAACTCACGGTATCCTTTTTGCAAAGCCTTGGCTTCTTATTAATTCATACACACGCACTAAGAAAAACACGAATATAATTATACACAATTTCCAGTTCTTTTTAAAAGAATGTTCTTTTAAAGTCTTAGTGGCCTATGTTTATACAAACTTGTATAAATGCTTTAACCCGTTCTACTTCTGGTAAAAACTTCCACTTATTCAGTCGACACTACAGCGATAATCATCCAACCGAAAACAGCGCGGCTACACGAGGCCTTATGCTCCTTGCGTGCAGCGATACTTTTACGGCTTCCGACGAACGACTTTTTAAAGCAAACTAAACGAAGTCCACACCGTGATCTTAAACCAATTAAAATCTGTTCACTAATCTTCGCTCCGGCTACCCTCCCATAGTACATTCGACAAACTGGAAACTTCCCGATTCAACTACTTAATTGGCCAAGTTTCGTGCACTTAAAAACTCCACTGAATTCCGGTCGAGATGAGAATAAACAATTCGGGAACGTCTGCGCTGAGCACCTTCAACTCGTCATTGGCACATTTCTTTTTCAAAGAAGAGTGTAGGCGGGTGCAGGCAAAGCAATGCTTGAGAACAAATGTGAGTATCGATGTTCGAATCCGCATCAATGTCTGTGACACTTTAAAGCAAGCCTTCGTTAAGAAGATGTAGCTATTCAGTCGTTAGTGGTGCGAGCGCGAGTGTGTGCGCCGAGGCAGCGTACGCTCGCTCGGGGGTCGACGGCCGGGGGTGCAAGGGGGCGCTTTGCACTTCCGCCTCGCTGCACTCATTTCCGCATAAACAGTGCCTCCTAGTATCAAGATGTAGTCCCACGGATGACGCTATCAAAGTGCGTCTACCTTCCTTTCACTCATTACCTACTTTGAAACGATGAAACGATGAAAAAATATTTCTTTCAAAATTAAAAAAATAGATTTTAAATAACATTGCAAAATAAAAATTCCGAATATAAAAAACAAACGCTTAAGCGAGAAAAAAGCGAAGCGAGTGTAACTAATCAAGGTGAACCCAACTCTGGTGGGAAGAAGGAACGCAATTTGAAGTCCCCCTTAAAAGTTTCGAAAGCGAAGGAGTGTGGGTGAAGTAAAACAAAGGCAGGATCGGTGAGTGCGAGGCGCGGGGTGCGGGGCGGCCAGCACACAGCGCGCCACTCGTGCTGAGTGCTCCGCATTGTGCCGCGTGTACAATGCGCCGAGCCGCCCGCCGCCCGTCCTGCTGCCACACCACACGTCGGCTGTGACCGGCCTAACTCACTCGCTTTCTACAGCTTATTAAAGTACATGATAGGGCACGTGAACTTCTATAAGCCCCTGTATCAACGATACATAATACATACTAGTGACAAAAACTATCCCAACTTCATATTTTTTATCATAAAACTTAGATTTGTCAGCGATAACTCTAATCTAAATCCTATTATCTCTCACAGAATCTTACAGCACTTACTCTTATGATTCAGTGATATGAGAAAATTAAAAAAAATATTGTTACTGAATCAATAGAGAGGATCATTAGTGAAGCTGGCACTAATGAACCCCCGATACGTTGCCACAAATCGCCGACATATCGCAAACCTCTCGAGCTACTGCCCTGATAACGTTACTTCGTCCCGAGCCTCGTATCTTATCATCTCTCAAACAAAAAGCCTGCTTAGGAACATCTGATACTATACATAGACAATCCAAGTCTAAGGTAAAAAAAAAACTTCAACGTAGTTTTTTTTTACATTGTTCTAAATCTGTTATTAATATGAACGTTTCGGTGACAACGAAAAGTTCGTTGTGGCTTACGACGTATTAAGGTAAAATGAAATGAATTCAATTAAATTGGATCTAAATCCTGACCAGTTAACGAATCTACACGTGAAAATGTCTGGGAAGCGGGTCAACAGCTCTCATCCCGCTCCGATGATAGTGGTCCAACGAAGTTCAAATAATATCGTTGAAAGTTTTTTTTATAACGCAATAGATAACTGGCAGGCAGTTGACAGCTTTGAATAATTAAAAACTAAAGTTTACCAAACCGACTGTTTTATGCTCAATTGAAAACTAGAGATAAACAAAACTGTTTTTCGTTTTTGTTTTCAATTTATCTAATGGAACCAGTGATTAATTTTATTTTTTATTTAAATAAAGAAAAAGTTTGGATATAAACTGATTTAATTTTAAATTATGTTTGCTTTAAATTTAGACTCTGGGATATGTTATAAAAACGTACAAAAACACGCGATTAGGAGGGCCAATACTCAGTTACTTTTAGTTCATGATTCATTCCCATTTTAGACACTTATAACATTGTATTTAAGATTTAAAAGGTGTTCCATAGTTCATTAAGCAAACGTGACGACCCGTGACCCTGAGTGGGGGTGGGGGGATAAGGGCTTATCGAGAGACGGCGTGAAAGCGTACGCCTCTCCTGTCACAAGGGCTTCTTTGTGTTTTGCACTAGTACTTTCTAGCGAGGACTTAGTTCCTTTTAAACATAATGAACTAAAACGCCATACCAGCTCGCGTATACTTATCGACGGTCGAAATTTCAAGTGCACGCTAGATAAAGAGATTTCTAGAGTCCTTACGCATATGCGTTCATTGCGTGGCTCGAGTTTTTATACATTGTATCTAAATTATCGTAACTCTAAGAACTGCCATTGCGCAGAAAGATATATTACTAGCTGTCGCTCGCGACTCCGTCTGTGCGGTATGAAAAAAACTTAAATATGTAATTAGCCCATGTGTTCTTACAGACTATGTTCTACATCTATGCCAAATTTCAGCGAGATCAGTGCCGTTCTGAAGATACATACATCCATCTATTATCTTCTATACATCCATCCAAATATTTGTATTTATAATATTAGTAAGATTCTTTTAAAATTTCCATTTGTTCACAGGCGCAAAAAATACATTACATTTAAAGATATAATTTTTTATTTAACATTTAGACGAGCAAGAAGAAAATAATTCCAATAACTTGTTTTTTTTTTTTAATTTCGCTGTTTATATTACAATTACAAACTTAACGAGGACATTATAGATATATTATTTCTATGTAAAGTAAAATGAATATTCTATTCAAATAGTAAACAAAAATATTTAATTTATAAGTCCCCCGAGCAAGAAATTCAAGGAGTCCTCAATTATTGTCATTATGTCTCCCCGCGACTGTCTCTACTTATTTGACGTAAAAATGTTAAATGGATTTATAAAGCACTTTATTTGTAATATCTTGTCTTAGAAACAATTTCAAATATTTCATCCGAAGCGACATTTAATAGGTAATACCAGAATTAAGACGAATTTATTTATGAGAATTATTTTTAAAAACAAATTGATTAAAGTATCGAATTGCGCAACATGATTCATCTGAGAATAGAAACCATTTTTGGATTAACCTCAGTCTGATTTTGAAGAAAAGTTTGTTTGCAATATCGTGGCAACTATTTTACATTAAATTATTATATTTTAGTAGTTGTCGCCCGCGTCTCCGTCCGGTCGGAATTAAAGAAATTAATTAACTTGTTCTACATCCATGCCAAATTTTATCACAATCTATTGAGCTGTTCCGGAGATACCTTTACAAACATCCATCCATACAAACTTTCGGATTTATACTATTAGAAAGATTGTGAACTCCGTGGCATTAATATAATATGTATCTTCTAAATACATTTACAAATAATTATAACTTTTGCTCAAGTTGCTATTTATAGGTTACTCTAGCTGTCGCCCGCGACTTCGTCGGCGCGGGATTAAAAATAGATAAGGCCGATTATCAGATCTACTCTATGCTCAAAAAATGTCATGAGAATCGGTCAAGCCGTTTCAAGAGTGTAGGATCGAAAATTGTGACACGAGAATTTTATATATATAATAAGATATTAAAAAAGCCCCGCCATAGATCATAGACTATTAAAGTACATAAATGTCTTGTGTTACGAAAATAGAAACAAATTTCCAACGAGATATAATAAAAGATTAATGTCTCCAAAAACGTCCCGCTAACGCGATAACAATCAAAATAATAGAATTACATCACTGTCGGGTGATATAAGTAGGTCATTATTTCCTAATCCGCTTCTAATGGTGTAGGCAAAGAGTCGTGCCGGGACAAGCGCGGTGAGGTCGTCAAGGAAATGAGTTCAATTTAGCATTATCTCGGAGAATTGACTGCCTGTCGACTGCGTCCGCTTGTTACATTGAATTATATACAATGACAACGGCACTGGGAAAGCTATTCGAAAATTGCGCAATAAATGTACCATGGTAACGGTAGATAGCATTTGTTCATGTGTATCAACGTATAGCAATTCTGTAACATTACAATTTAATATTAGCAAGTACAATCATAGCCAGGGGCTAAAACAAAAGAATCTTTTATACATTACTAGAAGTTGCTGGCGACTTCGATCCACGAACTTATTTAAAAAAACCTTAACGAAATATAAAAAATAAAGCCGTTAACAACGAGGGATAGTGTAGCTACCCAACAGTGTAAGAATATTTCAAATAGGTTCAGTAGTTTCAGAGCTTTTTCCTCTTTATAATATTGGTGCTTAAAGAAGTACAGATAAAAAGATTTTGATCATTTTGGATGATGAAATATTGTTGAATCAGAATATTTTATTAACATTTTAAATAATCGTTTTCCAGCGGGTGTGATGACGTACAGCGTTCGCTGGAATTGCTGGACCAAGTGCTGAGCGAGTACGACGAGGGCGAGCCGCGCTCGCTGGAGGCCCGCGCCGCTGCCACGGCTGCCGCGCCGGCTACGCCCGCGACGCCCGCCACGCCTGCCACTCCTGCCACGCCCGCTACGGACGACGACTCGCCGCTTGCGGGACACACATCGGAGGACGATGGATACATGAGCATGAACGGAAGACGGTGAGAAACCTTTTAAAATTTTCTATGCTTTTTGTTAAATTAAATATAGGAAATAAACATGATTCTAACCCAACTATCTTACAAAAACAAAGTCTGTTAGCATGATTTTTTTCATTACAACACCTTTTAAGGTACTCAACTAAACTTTTAGTTAATTTTAAAACTGTCCTATTGTAGAGTTGGGGAAGCAATTAAGTTATAAAAGAGACTCTTTGCGTCTTTTAAAACAAACATTATTACAAAACATCTGTACATAAGTAAATTATTTAGAAATGACAGTTGTCGGTATCACGGGTTGCCACTCGTAAATATATCACGAGATACAAACCTGAACGACGACACGCCAGCATTGAATAATGTTTGCAATAATAATAATAGTAATAATAATAAATCTTTCATTCAGACACATGGTCCATACAAAACAAAAATACAAATTAAAAACACTAGCATATAATAGTAAACTCTAAATAGCGTCGTTTTGCAGTTGTCACTTACATACGCTGATAAAAAATTCAATAATGAAAGTAATGATTGGCATTATATTCAATCACAGAGCGAAATTCGCGTTAGGGTTCCGGCCGACGGAGGAGCGCGAGGAACCCTCGCCCCCCGACCCGCCGTCCCCGCGCTCCCCGCATTCGCCGCAATCCCCGCCGCCGCCGGAGGAGGCGCAGCGGATCATCTCTACGTTGCTACCCAAGTACGACATCACATTACGTATTTTATTTTGAAAACAATAGCATAAAAATTACCCTTTGATTTAATAAAAAGCGCTACTAGTTGTCTCCGTTAAAGCAATACAAGCTGTACATACATTTTGTAATATACCTGCAAAAAGTTTTCAAAAATAACTAGAGTATGAGATTGAAAATTAAGGTGTATCTATAATATTTTTCAGAGTGTCACCGGCAAATTCTGGGAAGCGGACCATTTCTGCGGAGAGGACCGAAGCTGAAAAACTGGATTCTATTATTAGTGTCAATGGAATAACAACTGCAACTCAGACAACATTTGTAAGTACATCTTGTCGTCGTCATTAACAGCCATAACAATTTTGGAGTTATAACATAAAAATATAAAAATATTACGTTGCAATAATGTCAAAATATAAATTTCCAGCCGAAAACCAGACATCAGCGGCCATATGGCTGGGATAAGGAGGTGGAGACGAACGGTTTCCAGCTGCAGCCAGCGCCCGCGCCGCCCTATCGATTCTCCTCGCTGCAGCACGGCGCTCGCCCGCCGCAGGACTCGGCCGCCTGGCTGCCGCCGCGACACGCACCCGTCATCAAGTCGCCCAGCTTCGACAGTCCCCCGGTCTTCCCCTTTATGGGCTTCTCCAGCGAATTCAACGACAAACCGTACAATGAACACCCCGTCACTATATACCCGGGACCCAACATCCAGTTCAATAGACAAACTAACTCGCCCACTTACAACTTACAAAAGATATCACCTTCGAATTTAAAGAATTTAGACAGGAAGAACGTAAAACGCGACAGCAGATCGGACGGGGAGATGCTGTCGCCGCGAGGTAAGATACCTCCGCGGACTCTCGCCGGTTCTATGGAGAGGCATAGAGAAGTGTGTAGAGGTTCTTCGGAGGACGTAATGGACGGGCGCAAGACGAGAGGCTCGAGCCGGAGCAACGACGACGAGCACTTCTCCGACGACTCCCTGGAGGAGCCGTTCCCCCCGCCCCCGCCGCCGCCCGCCGCCACCACGCCCTCCAAGCGCAACTCCATCGCCTGGGAAGTCTCCCTCGACGGTGATGATCCCCTTCTCACTCCGGGTAGCACTAAGGTACGGAGGTATACTTGTATTGCCATTTCGTCGACCGGTTCCCATCCGAAATGAAAACATATTTTATTTATAACCTCTTTTGCATTTTCAGGTTATTGGCCGTAGAAGACGAAAATCGGGGGATCAGTCGCACTCGAGCACAAGTTCAATACCGCAGAGGCTGGACGACGATTGGGGCGAGGAGTACTGGCCCCCGCCCCCCGCGCAGTGCTCCCCGCTCGCCTCGCCCGCCGTACATAACCCCGCCGGCACCGCACACTGCGCCTCGCCCGCCTCAGACCTCGAGCACGACGCCCGCCGCGACTTCGCCTGCGGCACATACGTCATCAGGAAGGGCAAGAACAGGAAACAGCTCCCGACATTCAATAAAACCCCCACCACCAAAACCAATACAAACAATCTAATTCAAACCCACAGTCTCAATAGAAGCACCGACAAATCAATAGACGGCTCCAGCATATCTATCAGCGGCTCCGGATCCGTCAGCTCGTACAACTCCAGACCGAGTTCAGACTTAAGTTTGCCGCAGTCGCGCTACAGCGTCGACCTCAACTCCCGTCTCAGTCGGGAACTGAATACGCCCAATTCCAGGTACAGCATAGACCTGTGCACGCCCAACTCCAGACTGAGCAAGGAGATGACGTCGCCCAAGTCCAGGCTTAGTCTGGATCTCAACAACGGCCAAGATAGATACATCAACCCGGAATTCTTCGGTCACAGCCCTAGAAGCAGAAAAGCGAGCGCGGAAAAGCCCGGCACGCCCAAATGTAACGTGTCTCAAAGCAAACTGTCGCCGCAGAACAGGTTTACCGATTTTAAAAAGTATTCGTCGACATTCGATAACATACAGTCGTTAATTAAGGAAGGTAAAGTGGAGGAAGCTCCGCAGATAGAGTGCAACGAGACGGTGAACGAATTGACCACCGTTCCACCCAACATCGTCCGAGTGATATCGTTGCCGAGCCTCGGCGAGGGGGAGGTGAACGGCGCGGCGCGGCAGGCTCTCATCACCACGGTGGAGGAGGAGGAGGACGCGGAGAGCGGCGAGCCCGGCTCCAGCGGGGACACCTCGCCGCTCCGCAAGATCGAAAATAATATTAGCGCTATTCTAAGTCAGGGACGGGACCAAAAGCACTTTACGCCGTACATGCCTAAAGACTGGAATATACATAAGGACGAGTACTGTGATGATGTATCTAAGGAGATTTTAGAAACCAATTACCGCTATAGCTCTAGGGACAAGCAGAGGAGACACGACATCCAGAAGTCGTCGAGTCACAATGAAATACAAAACAGATCGATCGACCGCCGCGATCGTTCGTCGGGCAGACGGTCGAACAGTATGCACAAGTCGGCCAGCTCGAAGGACGCGCCCGTCGGCTTAGTGCGTCAGCCCTCATCGTCCGACTCAGCCGTATCGAGCGGAGGAGACTTTCCGCTAAATGTCCAAATAGTGGAACACCCCTACAGGCCTCCTTTGCCCCCGTCACCCAACCTCGGCCACGAGAGGGGACCTCTCCCGCAAACTCCCGAGTCTCCCAAATTCCCTCCGCTGCCTCCCTCTCCTGTGCAAGAGGTTGAGGACGAATACACGGAGATCATGCAGCCGACCGAGCGGCGTCACGTTAAAAAAGCTGATACCTTACCAACTCCCACCTTGGAGTCAAGAAGGAGGTATGCATATCCTGAAACACAATGTTAAAGCTTAGCTCTTTTTGATTATAATTGATGTAATATTTTGCAATTGCTAGGCCTTCAGAGCCGCCGGCGGTGCCTCCGCATCGGGACGCCACTAACAGCCTGAAGACGCGCTCCATGGAAGCCGGCTACAACAAGAACCGCAGGAGCAGCAACTTCAAATCTGGTTCCACGGACAGAAGAACTTTACCCACAGGTAACATTTATATCCTTTACAATTTTAAAACATAACGTACTTCTATTTATTCCCTTAGGCTCACTTATTTTTTTTAACCGTATGTACTAGCGCCATCTATCTTATGCGAGATAGAGTAGACATCTTACTGTAGTTTCAAAGTAAAATAACATAGATGTCACTTTTTCATAAACTATTATAAAAAAAATGTATCTTGACCTTATTTAGGTATTGACTTTTATTTATTATTTAGCACAATAATGCCACAAGCTAGTATCTATCAAGATTTTATATATCGCCGAATTTTTTACGAAAGATTTTCTCATCTCTCATTCTGGACCGTTTTACATTTCAGATGTGGGTGCAAGTGGGGCTCGTCGTCGCACCCTGCAGCGTCAGAACCGAGACACGTCAGCAGGATCGCGAGGTCCTCTGCAGACATCAGCGAGCCTGCCCGAGACGCCGGTGTTCGCGCGCGGCTGCGACGTACCGCGTACTCCGCCCAGGAACTCCACGGGACCACCGCGCAATAACACTATGAATTCTATACAGACCATAGGCAAGTCTATCTTTTTGATCAGCTGCGCCTTGATCAGTGCGTCTCCCTCTTCATCTCTTTACGTCCAACCACACCTTACAATATTTTCAGCGCAGATGCGCGAATGCGATTCAGCAGGATGTGATTCGTACGATGTCCCATAAAATGTATAGGGGGTCATCAAACATTTCAGTTGCATTTTATTTATTTCAAGTATAGCCAGGGTGCGTTCTTTTAACTTTTCTGGTGAACACATATTTTCAATTAAATTGAAGTAAATTTATAGCAAATAATTTAACACAACTTTTGATTTAAATTTTCATCAAAAGAGGCATTGTTATCTGCGATATTTTCTATCATATATTTTCAATTTAGTGAATCTGTTATATATGTTACAAAATGACTGAATTAATGATTAAATATCTGTAACGTAATTTCCCGCTCATTCTCATTAAAACAAAGAGAGACATCGATGTTTTAATACTAGTGTTACTTCAATGGACTTTCACAATAACGAGTAGACAACTAATAGATGCATCTAAGCAGCCCTTTGATCAAGAAATGCATTAACAATGGACATTCATGACATCTTTTATGGTATTGTTCTATTTTTGTTATCAAAACCAATTTGCATTAATGTTTACTAGAAAACGTAAATATTTACGCTATATAATAACATCAAATTGTTTAATCGATAATAACTCGTTGTTTTTTATTTTATAATTTATTTAGTCGTATTAAAATAGTTGGAGCTATAACATCAAAAGAGTTTTATTTAAATAACGGTAGCCGTGTGTGATAACTCAGTTTTTTAATTAGTGTTTCTTCTTGTTTTTGTTCAGTTAAAACTTAATGTTTAATTCGTTTGTAATAATTTAAATTGTGCTTTGAATCATATTCTAAAACATCTTGGAGAGGGTATTTTAAATATTTTATAAATCACCCTTTGTAGAAATAAAGTGATACTTTAGTACGTATTTATATTTTCGGATGGTTAACCGCGTTTGAGGGATAGATCAACTACTGATGTAGTGTGTACTCCAGTACGAGTGAACTGATCTGGAACTCAGTTTGTCTACATTCCGTCAGGTTAAAGTTGTTTCTGTTAATATACTGATAAGATTACTAGCCTCTTTATACCATTGATTGACTTGTCAACTAAAAAACTTGTCAACAAGTCATGGTTTTGTGCTTTTTTGACTGGCGCCGTTTTAGCGATAACGTAACGGTTGGTAGCGGTGTTAAAATCTTGAACCTAGTAATTGAGATAGAATAAGCCGACAACTGGCGTTTTTAACCTTGGGTTTTTAAGACCGATATCTTCGTTTAAAACAAATTGTCATCTCTGTTTTGTCATGCTTAACAGGGATGACAATATGTTTTATAATGTAATTGTAGTCTCAGAAACCCACGGCCAGTCGAAACGAAACGAAAACTGACAATTCCAAGCTGTCAAGTAGCTATAGAGGTCAATGAACCAGATGAAGTGGGTGATAGGTAGTATATATTATAATAATGTGATGTGTGCAGGGAGTTCAGCGACGCTGGGCGGTTACGGGCGCGGGTCTGTGATGGGCGCGGCGTCGGGCGTGTGTACAGGCGCCGACCTGCTGCGGCTGGGTGGACCACCGCGCGGCTGGTATCCAAGACAACGGCACAGGTTACTAATTACAAGTACTAATAACATCTATGATAGACGCGAGTAGATCAACTCTGAACTGTCTCAAAAGTTTAAATAACATAACCTTCAACTGTTTAGCTGTGGCTCAACAATTATGGGCCACCGACCTATTTGAGGTCATTACCAATATGGAGTATTTAGCTGCAGCTGGTGATTCCGACGGTGGTACAACGTGGACTATATCATCTGAATCCGTCATTCCATACGCCGAATTTTGGGTCCCATTTCCGTTGCCGGTTCTCCCGTATATTAATGTAATAATTTTGTTCCAGGCCTGCGTCCACAGAGCACTTAGACAGACTGACCACGTCGTCGAAAATAGGAGTGGACCATCCCGTGGCTTGGGAAGGTTCCGGCGCGCGCAAACCATTAACGCTCCCGCCAAACCTTACGCCCAAATTCTTCCAGAAATCACCGCGAGAAGCGCTTCGTAGAGTCACGAGCTTATTAATAAGAAAAGGTAAGTAGGAATTATATTTATCTATAACTATTGATAAAATGAAAGCGTCTATTACACGTTTCTCTGTCAATTCATTTTGCAAGTCCTTCTTCGTTCTTCGGAATGCCTGAACTAATTTTTACGGGACTTGGACGGCAAGTTAGTAGGTCCAAGTGGGAATATAAGCTACTTCTCTTTATAATTCCGTGCTGACGAAGTATAATATGAAACACAATTTTAGATCGGCGTGACGTAAATGTAAGCAGAACGAAGCAAACCCGTGCACGCTATTTCCTCATTCATAAATGCTAGATAAATTTTTACCACTTTTGGTTATAAACTTTCAAAAAACAAATAAATTTAATCTGATAGTCATAATATTTGTTTGTTGAACGAGACACAATTTCTATAACCTGATTGTAAAGTACTCATTTTATAATTGCACAATATGCAAATCACACATTTATTGTCTTGCGTTGTTTGCGCGTAAACAAGTCAGTAGGTATCAAGGCAAAGCTAAATGTAAATACGTTGTCTATAACAATGTATGCAATTCTCGTAGTTTAACAACGAAATTTTGTACAATCACATATATTCGCTTTATGTTTAATTATTCATGAAAATTGCCCGTTAATTATTAAAAAGGAATGTAAAGTCAATAGGTAGCATTATCACGTTTCAATTGAACTCTGCCACTTCGGAATTTTTTTCTAATTTATTTTGTTAAAATTAAGAAAATTACTATGAGCGCCATGGGAAGAGGGAGGAGCAACTGCCGCCCCTAGAAAATTTAAAAAGATATAATAACTATTTTGAATATGACCATATTAATGGTAGCTGACCTCCGTTCTCCTAGACCTAGCCTAGATCATAAATAAGCTGGCGACGCCTATCTAAGGATAGCCAAAGTTGTATAGTTATATTAGAAAAACTGTTTTACACATTGTTGGAGTTAAGACCTCTCAACGACAAGTTTGCAGTTTGTCTCTGGTTATAACAGTTTGGATATGTATTGGAAGAACATATAAATGCTAATCGATGTGACTCATACATTTTAATATAAAACTGCTTATTGTCATTTTACGAGTGATGTCAATTTCATAGAAATAAATGAATACACTATCGAGGAATCATAATCCATGACTATCATTACATTTATGACGTTTTACGTTAAAGAGTTATGAATGAAATATTTACATGCATTCATACTTAAACTACCAGCAAACAAACGTCAATTAAAGATTCATTCTCAAATATACTATTGTACAAAAAACTACACAATAAATACACTATTTTCTATTGTAATATACAAAACGTTATTAGGACTTCTTAGTTATAAAAGTGAGTGAGTGTGCGTCCCGAAGGCCTAAGTTAGTCCTCTTTCCCTTTCTACCCTTTTTCTTATAAGGATGAGAAGTGGAAGTGGACTCTCCGGATGAGAGGATGCATGGAAATGTTTTCTTCCTGTGCATCCTCTCCTCCGTTGATTAAAGGTAGGCAACGCATATGCAATTGCGTATATCTATGGGCAACGGTCACTTCGCTATTTCAGCGTTTTCATGTCACCGCTCGCTCGTTTGCCACCTTATGATATAAAAAAAAGATTATACGTTAAAATAAGAATTACTTCAATTAAAATAATAACAGACACCGTTAACTATCATACAATCGCTTCAAATTTACTATTAAATAAATGTTCAAGAAACAACTTCATATCTGTCTGGCTTAGTTGAGACATCTACTATAATAATATAAAGCAGAAGAGTTTGTTTGTTTAACCGCGCTAATCTCAGGAACTACTGGTCAGATTTGAAAAATTCTTTTTTGTTGTAAAGTCTATTTATAGAGGAAGGCTTTAGGCTATATAACATTACGCTGCGACCAAACTACTGGTAGGTTATTTTTAATTACGCGCGGACGGAGTCGCGGGCGACACCTAGTCTACTATAAGACTTGTACATTATCTTGTCTGTCCCAAGCCACTTGAAACACCAGCGGTATTCAGTTCTCATCTGTATGAGAAATTAACCTCGAAAGATGATAGTTACATAGTACAAGAGACGAAGAAAACAAGGTAAGTGATGACAGCATTTATAAGAAAAATAATATCAAATACGGTTGTGAATAATATTGGTAACATGTTTTTTTATAAGTGGACAAATTCAAAAGAATGTAATAAACCATAATTTCCAATGTAATCTCATAAAATATAAAATCTCTTTTATACATCTTTGAAAGTCATTCCACAGTTTGTTATTCGGATGTATATATCCTTAAATAATAATCCCATTGAGTTATAAAAAGGTCTTACGTCATTGCATGGTGAGAATCTGATTAAAAAAATAAACAGGCTTCTAAAAGTGTTAGTTTAAACAATTCGTTTGCCTGAGTCACGTTGGTATGAATATCTACCGGTTCTAACTAAAATTATACTTTAATAAAAAAATACAACCGTAACTGAAGTAACGACTTATAAACTATGTATTCAAATTAATTAAAAACAATTTTAAACTTAACCTAACGTGTTTAATTTTTTTGTAATGTTGATTCATATTGATAATAGATGGCAGCACTTGTACAAAATGTGCGTCAGTAGTCGGTTTACTTTGCTATCGTAATTTTCCTTTTTCAATTTAAACAATACTCGATTTATCGAATAATTGCAATAACATCGGTTTTTATTAATTAAAGATACTTTATATACTAAAATTAACCCAAATACAAATTTTAGTAATACAAATTAGTCAGAATAATCAACGATATAAATGGTTTTATTATTCTTTTAGAAATATCATGAGTAATAACAGAAAAAAGCTAAGGTGCATTTTATATTTTCGTATTTTACCCTCAAATATTTATGAATTCGTACGACAAACACGTGCCATTCCCCTTTACAACCCCAAAAAAGGGGTCCGATATTTAAATCTCGCTTCAGCCTTTGCGCTGTTATTGTTCCTATCTAAATAATGAACCTACGCATACGAACGGTGTAACAATACGGCATTAACAATCGTTTACGGGGACCTCAAAAGTTCGACTGCACAATAGAGCACCGCATACAATAGCGATTCTGTTACCTGCGACATCAATATGTGCATAATGGTACGGCATGAACATGATTCACAAACGTCCCTTGCGCGCCCTGCCTCACTGAGTCATCGCGCTGTGCCTGGCCGCGGCCATGCCGGTTGCCGATACGACCCTATCCCATGATTAATAGAGACGTGAAAGGAGATAGTTATGATATCCGACGCGAGCTGACTACAATATTATTTATTGTCTGTGATAAAATACATTTCGCAGAACGCTCTCCTATCCGCCACGCGCCGATTCAAACGATCCATGATTTATACGCTTAATCGGCCTTTACAAACATGAGTAGATAATTAATTCGTTTAATACTACATTTATTACGGTAAAAGTTAAATGTTATTGCAAAGAGTATGTACGTATTCTGTCAAAACCGGTCGTAGTTCCAAAGATGGCAACCGGTCGGGCGTCGAGGCCAATACGAGCGCGCCGGCGCCCTACATACGACTGGCCTGGCCATCGCCATTGCCATCGCTCGATATCAATTCTTAAACGTTTCCATTACCAATGAATTCTTAATTTCTTCACACTTATGCATTCCGGAGAAAGTTTAATGTTTAATACTTGAAATTTCTCGAAAATATTTCAATTTATCGTCACAAAATCTTTGGAACGTCGCCAGAGTTCTTCGACCATACGAAAATAAACATCATGGTCGCCAAAAGAGGTGGAGGTTCGCTATTTTTAGTTTTTTTTAAATAATTTATTTGGCATAAAAATGAAAACATATTTTCAGGAATATGATGCTTATAATATCGGCCGATTGTACAAATTATAAACAAGACCTTAGAGTATTTAGTTATTTATTTCTAGAATCATGACAACTCTGAAACTTTTTAATAACAATATTCTCGTATCGTTCGAGTTTAATGTTTTTAATCTGTTGGCATATTATATTTAGTTTGTTACCTCATCCTTACGTTACTTACATAAAAATTAACTAACAATATGAAGAAAATATGCACTTTATAAATATAAACTTTTACTTTGCAGTACTGTTTAAGTTAGTAGCATAAACTAATGCACGGAACGGAACAATTTTGTTTTGGATAATTTTAAATAAAACAAAACCAACTGCCCTATGATTTAATATTTACCAGATTACATATAGAACTTATGTTCCCTCGCCTTTGTTCCTATCCGATAGAGATAAAATATTCGATACAATTTTATCATACTTGATAAATTTACTTAACCATAGTGATATCATCTTTATCTTTTGTCGATTTCCAGCAACAATTTCGGTAAATATTCGTTCAAAGAAATCAACAATACTTACACGTAATAATAGAAATGAAACGTTCGATATTTGAAATGAATTTTCCCGCTAATTTTGTTTATGGTTATGTCAAATATGACTTTATGAAAAGCTAATTTAAGCTAAATTATTGATAGCCTAGCTAGTGCGGCTCCTTCCGCGTGAAACTAAAAAAAGCTTTATTAGTTCTTATAGGCTGTGTTCTATATCTTTACCAAATTTCAGCGGGATCCGTGCAGCCGTTCTGGAGATACCTTCAAACAAATATCCATCCATCTAAACATTCGCATTTATATTAGTAAAAAGTAGGATTAGGCGAAAGAAGGATGAATTCAGATATGACGACTGTTGAAATGCATGGAAGAGAAGTAAATGTTTGAACCCATATGTAGAGAAATGTTAGAAATATTATAATAAAAAGCTTAATCCTTTAATTATATCTGAAACCACGTAATACTTAAAATAATCGGTTCTTACATTCTAGAAATCATAACCTTGCATAATATTTCGTTGAAAGTCTTATCTTAATAATATAATCGATATACTTATCTATATGACTGCATTCATTGATACGTTTACGAGTAGACATGAAACATAATATGTTTTTCAAATAAAATTACAGTTAAATAAAGTACACGTATTGGGAAAATATTACATTTGTTTTTTTTTTTAT